TGCCCATAAGAGGAGACCCCCCCCCTGGCAGTTTATATAGGACACTACTGTTGTGTTGTCCGTGTGGACCAGGACATGGTGACCTGACAAACGTGGTAGAAAGGTTTTAAAACCACCAGCAATTCTAAGCAGTTGATATGAAACCGTCCCTCCGTGCTGGTCCAAGCTCACCCCTGACTCCAAGAGACTGGGTTTCGACCAGGGCTCTGGTGCAGCCGTGGTTTACCCTGATATAGAGATGGCTTGAGCGCCATGATTGGGGGGAAACCTGTGGTTTTAGCCAGTACTGCAGTATGTGTAGCATACTCTGCGGACGTACTTATGAAGCAGAGGCCATGAGGCCTAGCATCCTCAGAAAGGTTCTGTGGGGACTCTTGGTCCCCGCTCTAAACGAGCTTGCGAGTCGCTGAATAGCCAGAGAGCGTTTGTTCGATAGCCACACCCTCATTGCAAAATTCATTCTTACCTGTTAAACGGAGGCATTTACAGACTGGTCTTAAGTTTAAAACAATGAGTTAAAGCTGTACACCACTATGTTTTCTGCAAAAAAAATTATCACAATAACAATATTTTTTAAACAATTTAAAATTTCGACAAAATTCCAACCTAGATATCACCAAGTATGAATGTTTTGGTACCAAAAATAATGAATTATAGAAATAACCGACCGTAAATGGAATTTGCCAAATGTTTGGGGGGTCAAACAAAAAATTGGTGATTTTTTTTTACCTTAAGCTACCCACTAAGAATTGCTATCATGCATTTTTGTGGTCCAGGGACATCCCTCTGTTGAATAAAAAAGAGTAGCATTGGTGCCCTCTTATGAGACAAATTTCTGAAATTTGGGGGTTTGCCTCACGGACTATTATAGCTGGTTGATTTGGTTCATGGCTTATAGCTTTTTAAACTTTTTTTTATTTTTTTCCTATGGGAAAAATTCATATGAAAAATACTTTTTGTTTTATTATGCAGTATGTAGCTAGTAATTTGCGTGTACTCCTAAATTAACTGACAGTTGATGTAGACCCAATATCGAGGGAGGGCTCAATTTCTCAAAATTCATATCCCTTGTGGCACACCGTAGACTCGCTCTCGCATTACATCCAAACGCAATTGCCACCGTCTTGCATATCATGTATCGTTTGTAGTGAAAATGAGCTCAAACTCATAGGACTACAAAATTCTTGTTGCTAGACCAATTGATTTGTACATGGTCTGGACATTTGTTTTCTTAGCAAAAGCTTTAATTATATTATAATACCTTGATAATCTTGTCTGGGTTTATTTTGTCATTATCACCCCAAAAAATAATGATACCTTACATATTGTCTTCTCATCATTATACAGTATTGTTACTGACAATTTCTAACATGCACAAAACAAGTGTGGAACGTGGTAATCTATTGCCAAAGTGTTTCTCTTTAGTGCGCTGTGCCATGGGAGACCCTTGTCTTCCCTATGATGAAAAAAGAAAAGAAAAAGCTATTACTGTTTAATTATGTTTCCTTTTAGTCAACCTCAGGAGCCAACAAGCACAGGCCAGCCTGCGTGAGTGGACACTCTTCCGAGATAACAAATGGTTTTGTCGACCTGATTTAGGAGTTAGGAGCAGGCAGAACGCGCTTTATCCAGACAGACGTCGGTGTGAGGAACGGGGGTAATTAATATGGAATGCTGATGAGAATTCTGACAAGTTCTAATAAAATAGGCTGAGTGGTTTGATAAGACTTGAGTGCCCAGGAGTAATTACTGAGCTTTAAACAGTGTGTAGAGCAGAGTTTAGTGTGGGACTGTCTTCATGTTTAATATAATCTTCCCCTGACCCTCCCTCCACCATTGACAGGCCATTTATTACAGCCAGCTTTCTGATTCAGCATGCCAATAGCTGCGCTTCACTTCAACTCTAATATCTTTTAGGATGATTTTCTGAGTAGATATGAGGTGTTTCGCAGACTTTATTTTGCTCTAGTTTGTTGATTCTTCATTTTTGGGTCGGCAACAGTGACATGAACCTTGGCTCTTTTATGAATTATGATTTTTACACTAATGACAGCTGTGAGGGCATACAGACAGGAAAAGAGGAAGACGGATAATAAAGCAAATGTGTAGGTTATAAAGTCATCTCAGAGGCTTGAGAAAGGAGGAAAAAAATGAAACATTTCTCTACTGTGAACAATGTAATAAATGTATGTGGTAATGAAAAAGGGAAAGACAAAATGAGAGCTCTGATTTCTCTCTCTCTCTCTCTCTCTCTCTCTCTCTCTCTCTCTCTCTCTCTCTCTCTCTCTCTCTCTCTCTCTCTCTCTCTCTCTCTCTCTCTCTCTCTCTCTCTCTCTCTCTCTCTCTCTCTCTCTCCCTCCCTCTCCCTGTCAGGGACATTTGTCTTTCCCTTGTGCTTTATCAAAAGACAGTTTCTAAAGAGTCCCTTGGCCATGTGCACGGACACACACACATTGGCACATGTACAAAGCTTGGTAATCTTTCCTCTTGTCACCTAAGAGCTCCCTTTCAGTCCTGTCTCCATGGAGACAGCAAACTGTTTTGTGTCACAGTTTATGTTCTGGTCGGTTCAGCCTCAGCAGTCTGTGTGTTCGCATCTAATCCTGCCTCATCTCTCTAGAAATGATGTCCACTATAATTACAAAAACTTTTTGTTATTTTCTTTTTTCGTTATTTCTGAATTATTCTTACTCTATGTACTCCGCAGATGATTCAGTGGAAGGTGGTGCTTAGTGCTGAATGACTCTATATTGAGGTCAATGAATAGAATCAAGAGCTGCTCTTTGCACTGAACCATTAAAGGGTTAGTTCACCCAAAAAGGAAAATTCTGTCAGTTATTACTCACCCTCATGTTGTTCCAACCCCGTAAGACTTTCGTTCATCTTCGGAACACAAATTAAGATATTTTTGATGAAATGTGAGAGCTGTCTCACTCCTTCATAGGCTGCTAGGTAATTGCATCTGCCGTCCCAGAAAAGTTAGTAAAGACATCGTTAAAATAGTCCAAGTGACTGCAGTGGCTCAACCTTAAGTTTATCAAGTGACAAGAATACTTTTTGTGAGCAAAAACAAACAAAAATAACGACTTTATTCAACTATTAATTTTCTTCCGTGTGGGCCTCTGACGAGAGTTCACGAGAGCGCCAGGACGCGTGCGCGAGAACTAAGAGGATGACGTCATGCTCACGATCATTTGATGGGAAAGTGTGAAAGGTAAGCCATTCATTTTGCGGCATTGGTAAGGCACTTTTACGTTTTCTCGTTGGTTTCCCATGGTTCAGACATCTAGGAAATACACACTTTAGAACAATTTTAAACACTACATCGAGACCCATCTGCATCATCCTCTCAGTTATCGCGCATGCGTCGTGGCGCTCTCGTGAACTCACGTCAGAGGCCCACACGGAAGAAAATTAATAGTTGAATAAAGTCATTATTTTTGTTTTTGGTTTCCCAAGATTTTCAAAAGATGGCGCCGCCCATATAAACGGCCTCAAAACCGTTATTCAGAAAGTCTATGGGTGACGTCACAGATGCTTTGTCCATTTTTTTTACAGTCTATGGGCAGAAAGTATACAAATGGTTGAGGGTGGAAATATGCTAATACGGGACAGTCTGTCAGTGGTCGTGGGCGGAGCATGAGCAATATGACATCATATTGCTCAGAAAATCCAAACGGCTTGATTATTGAGAGTGTTTAGGCTTATTGATGATTAAAAAAAAGGAGTGAATGGATTTTTTTCATTGTATGGTGGTTGTGTCCACACACAGCAAAGATACATTGGTGAATTTTGCATCCGATGACCCCTTTAAAGACTGTGAATGACAGGAATTCTGTGGATCGCAAACTGCAGCACTTCTCTTCCTCTTTTTTCATGTGTAACAACTTGTCCATCTGCTATTATTATTTTATATATCACATTTTCTCTCTTATTTCTTTTGAAAATGTTCTGTCCCTTCTTGTTTTTTCCCCTTTATTGAGCTACTGATCTACTCAAAAAATGTCTTTGTAAGCTGTTTATGTAAATAAATGACACATTATAATTCATTAGAGTGCTAAATTTAACAGCATAAATTTACAATGCTGATACACAGTTCAACACCATCGGGATTTATTACTACCCTTGGATTTAAGCGTGGGATTTTTTCTGCATGTTATTACACTATTACGCCAGTAGGTGCAGAGTGCCGACAGGTGACTTTCTTTATAAGCGAGTCAATGATTCATCCACTCAATCGATTTATTCAGAAACTAAACAAATATGAGTCAGTCATTGAATCATTTACTCAACCGATTCAGTCAACAACTGTGTCTCATTTGTCAGCCGCATTGATGCGGTCTCATTTCAGAAAAGTAACCATTATTCCAAAGTAATTTACAACTCGCAAGAAATAACAGTCAATTTTATAATGGTTGCTTTTCTGTAATGAGACATTTCGATGACCTATGTAGCCGACAAATGCGACTTCCGGAAGGGTTCAGCCTTCAAAATGAGACACAGCTGAATTAATAAGGAACTAAACAAGTGAGTCATGTGCTCAACCGATTCATTCCGCGATACTAGGAACGCCGGAACTGTGTGTTGTCCAGAGACGCGAAACTGTTGCTGTACATTTAGCGCTGGTGAAGCAAAATAGATTGATGATATTGCTTCTAAAATGTAAGTTACTCAATACTAACTTGTTTATTGAACTATTGTATAGCTACTGGAAACAATATCACACTCGCAATCGCGCTGTTGCATGCGCTAAAAGTGACAGCATCTAGTGTCGCACCAAAGCGTATTTATCAAAAATAAGGTTATTTCAAAGCTTTTTACTGCACAAATTAGAAGTCCTGCTAATTAGAAGTCGTACATGGCTGATTATTTGCGGGTTGCATTCCAAATACTGATCAGTAGAAAACTGAGGGGCTGAACAAACCGTTTTTATGAATTCCCGCACACTTTTCATTATGGCTTTCCATTACAATAATGATTTTTATTTGATTTTTTCACAGGATGTCTGTTTGAAGATGTGGTATGTGAGTCGTATGAGGTCTGCATCAACGGTGAGTCGTAAAAAGATTACATTTTCCACCAAGTATTCTTTCAATTTGAAATGCAAAAAATAGATAAAGTCTCTTCCAAAACGAGCTGTCACTCTACTACCTACAATGAGCTGCACAGAGTGTAACTATCTTTAATTTTTTTTTAATGATCTCATGTTAAGATTTTTTTGGGGGGGGGGGGGGGATATTTTCTCTTATCATACTGACACTTTAAAAACTGCAAAACATAAATGTCGCAAAAATAAAGTTCAGAGATGGAAGTAAATGGTTTGTGTGTGTGTGTCCTCAGTGTGCTATTAGCGAGAAGTTAAGTATCAAGTTAATCTAATTCTTATTTTATTTTATTTTATTAACAGTAGCCTATTTATTTGTTTAATACAATCTAATCAAAGTTTATTTTGAAATTATGTTTTAATTAGGTTAAATTGTGAAATTCAACCAACCAGTCATTTTCCAGGCTTATATCTGCACTGATGGGATGTAATTGTATGTTTGGAAAGCAAGACAGTGCTTCTCATAGAATCTCGGAAATAAGGAAAACTTGAAGGAGGATTGATTATGGACGGTAGTAGCCTATTGTAGTGATTATAGGCTGGATTGTCCATTTTATGAAATGAGGCCAGGCAGTAACTCTGTAAGACTAGCTATCAACATTTCTCATATTGCAAATAAATGTATATGTGTAGCCTTAAGAGAGAAAGTGAGGGACTGAATGGGGACTTGGCTGCGAAGAAGACCTATCAAGTCAAGTCCTTTCAAGTGCAAGCAGATGAAAAGATCCAATCAAGGTTTAGCTGTCGGAAAGATGAGATTTACCTTGCACCACCTGATTGCAGATTGTTTTGTTTGACTTGAGCTTCAGCATTGAAATTCTACTCTTCTTGGCTTTGTGATTTTCATGATTATCAAGTAATCCAAAAAGTGTTTTGGTGAGCCAAAGACAAATTTCCACCCCGTTGGATGATAAAGATATTTCTATTCTATTCTGTTCTATTCTATTCTATTCTATTCTATTCTATTCTATTCTATTCTATTCTATTCTATTCTATTCTATTCTATTGCAAATGGTGTCTTGTCAACATCTAGTGCTTAAAGGCGGCATGAAATGGAAGTTGCTATGGTCTTTTCTTCCTTACTGTGATGTATGTGCAAGTGAAACAGCTTCTTGAACAAGAAAAAATGTAGGGCGGCACTTGATTTTGTCCATCGGGAATTGATTGGATCATTGGATGATTGTAGTTTAATATTGCTATGATCTCATGTGAGAGACATTTTTGGGTGTTTCTCAAATGGAAGGCTGAATCCTACCGAGACTGCGTCCTTCCAGGCTTGTAGGCTAGTTTCCTCCTCAGCAATTAAACGCTAAAATGAGGCGGTCTAATAAGCGTGCATGGCTATGTCACACATGTTCCCGCCCCCACGTCCATCCATGGCACGAAAATATTATTAAAACTTAATTTTGGAAAAATACTTCATCACAAATCTTTATATTAACTAGCTTTCTATTAATGCAATACAGTGAATGACAGTTGTCTGTGGTCTGCCAGTGGCTTACATTATTGTCAGTTTTGTGTTAAAGGAACACTCCGACTTTTTGGGACTTTAGCTTATTCACCATATCCCCCAAAGTTAGATAAGTCCATACATACCTTTTTCATCTCCATGCGTGCTGTAACTCTATCTGACGCACCCACCGCTAGCCTAGCTTAGCACAAAGACTGGATGTAAATGGCTCCAGCTAGCATACTAATCCCAATAAGTGACAAAATAACGCAAACATTTTCCTATTTACATGTTGTGATTTGTATAGTCACAAAGTGTACAAATAACAAGATCAGATATGAGACACAGCCATCTTTTAACCGTATAAATATTGGGAACTATATTCTCAGAAGGCGAAGCACTGCTACTTGGGCGGAGTGATTACCGCAGCACCTGAGACGCACCGTGATGAGGAGCAGAGAGTTCGTTCAGAGTTGGAGTATAGGGTCAGCAATTACTAGATAGAAAAGCATAGTTTATCATGGGTGTTCACTGTATTGTTAAGAGCTGCGACAATAAACAGTGGAGACCAGGTAATACCATGATGTTTCATAGAATTCCAACCAAAAACGCTGACCTGATTAATAAATATCACAGAACACGAATAAAGAATTATTATTACAGGAATCGATATATTTTAAATGCAATTTATTACAGCTGAACCAAATGTATTCAACAGCATATAATACAGTAATGTTAGATAATTGCATTACAATAGGCTAGAATAAGGGGAAATTAATAGCACAAAGCAAATTGTTTTTGCACAATGAACCCACAGACAGTAGCCTACCCGTACTGGACAAGGTCACTGTTTCTCAAAAAAAAAAAAAAAAAAATCCGATTCATTAGCAAGGTGAAGGCTACAGTCCTGAGTTTACCTCTAGCTCCGCTCATTTGTTACTGGGGCGATAGTATAGAGCGCGTTCGTGACAAAACAATAGATGTTATTCGATCTGTATCATCAATGTTTGCGGCGGCCATATTGTTGACATAGAAACCACGGCAACTGTCAGTCTGTCAATTGACAAGCGAGGCAGCGTCGGTATTATCCATGGTATTATCACTGTATTTTTATTTTTTTAAACAGCGTGATGGTGTGTTGTGTAATACACGGCTGTTCTAACAACAGCAATAAGAACCCCGGAGTTAGTTTTTATGATTGCGATAAGTTACCGACTGTCAGAAAACGTGAAGGGAAGGAGACAGAGTTGAGCCAGCGCAGGAGAGGCTAGCTAGGATAAATAGGCTAAACTTTCAGCCAACTCCCCACAGAAAAGTCTGTTCCCATCATTTTACCACAGGTTTCACACATAATCCGTGTGCAATGCGTGTGCGGTGCGTATACGGTACAGAAGCAGGACGCGCAATACTTTATATGCTGCGTTTGCAGTGCGTAACTGATCCGCGGCTGTACCACAAACACCCTGGTACTCACTATTTTTATTTTAACACATACTCACTATTTCAACAAAGTAAGCCAATTATTCCATGCATTACTTCTATATAAGTTGCTCAAGCAAGTGGTCAAATATGTAACCATGTACTTATTAAAATCGCAAACATTTTAAATGAAAACTTAAAATTGACAAAAACAACCGACTCTCATGCCTTTTCTTTTGCATTTACATTTTAATACAACAAATCTTGCATGTCACAAAGAATTTGTTTTTCCACCTCCACGAATGAGACGAGTGTCGTTCATTATGTTGCCTTGTTGGGGTGCATTGTAGTTTGTATACGGATACTGTATGAACGAGATCGTTATAAATATCCGGATAAGTTACGGCTGGCAAAGGTGGCAATAAGGACGGATCTTTACTTAAGCTTGATTGGCGTGGACCCACATCAAATAATAGCATTATCTTCTCTTGATACCGACGAGATGAAGCCAGGCTACTGCTCCCCTCAACTCAAATCTGCGCGCGGTTAGGGGCAGCAGGACAGATGTCATGTCAACAATATGGCCGCGGTTAGCTACTTCCGGTGTTTGCGAATAAGGTCTATACTAACATTAGGGCCTGCCCACATATCGCGTCTTTTGCGCGCTCGAGTTCGTTATTTCAAATGTAGGCGCGCGGGGTGCGACGCGCTCGTTTTTCCCAGCGCGTCTGCGCCGCATCGAGATAAAAACATCTAAACTTTTCAGAATGCCGCAAGCCTAGCGTTTTCTACGCGTTTTTAGGCACTATATGTGAATGGTGCCTTACAGGGGATACATGGAGACCGGGAACAACTACAATAGTAGTGACCACCCTATTCATATAATAGTGTCACTGTCACTAACGTTACATTAGATCTGGCTAATGGCACTGTTACAGTAGGCTAGTCATCTAAAAACATAACGGAACACTTACCGCAGCCGCAGGTGATCCACTTTGTCCTGTCTGTGCTATAGATGGGATGGCCTTATCCTTCAGCACACGTTTATGGTCCGTACGTGTGGCAAATTCCATTTTTTCAAAATAGTCGTCCTTAGTGAAATGTACTGAGCAAACACGATGGTCCTTGATGATCTCTTCAGGTGTGTTTGGATCTAACGTTATACCCACAGCAAGTAACTTAGATACAACGAATACAACAATACAATACAACGAACACCCATGATAAACTATGCTTTTCTACGGAGCCCCTAAAGGGACGTGGTGGTGGAAAAAAATTTAGGATGGGAGAATTTTTTTTTTTCAAATTTTTGCGTTCCCCCGAGAAACTTTGCGTTCCCTCGCAAAACTTTTGCGTTCCCTCGCAAAGATATTTGCGTTCCCACGCGAAAGTTTTGCGTTCCCACGCAAAAGTTTTGCGTTCCCTCGCAAAGATATTTGCGTTCCCACGCAAAACCTGTTGGCAGCTCGGACAGACACTTCCTGTTTAATGTCCCGCTGGCAGTGTTTCAGAGCTCCGTACGTTAATGGAGTGTTTCATAGTGTTTGAGCTTGGATTCAAATATAAAGAAATGCGGTCAGTGCTTAACTCAAGCAGTTCAGTGAAGTTGGCAATACATTACACATAGGCTATTCAAACTTCCCGGATCAATATTCTTGAGCTAAACGTTGTTAAAACACAAACGACACCTATTTACAATCACAGTGACCTAGACAACGAGCTACAACCCAATTCTCCTCAAAACGAGCTTTATAATATAGGCTAAATGGATCTCTATGAGCAGGCGGCTGAGTCCGAAGGGACCATCTGAAAAGTGCAATATAACCCAAAAAACGACTACAGCATCAACTCATAGTCAAAAATATAAAAATAGTCATTAACTTCAATGTTACAAACCACCCAATTCAGTTTACACATCAATGGTAAACCCACTGGTCATACTGCACTGCTTTTGCACATTTTATATTATAAAAAAATATATTTAATAACTTCACTGTAACACACCAAATTTAGTTCACACATCACTGCTCTAATGTTGGTTATACAACACTTAGTTTGGGAAGTAATTGCACATAAAA